TTGGAAACTTCCACACCTTCTGTCTTTTCTTTAGATCTTGATCTGAAAGGTAAGAACAAGGATTTCTTAGAATATTCCAGCTTTTCTCGGGGGAGAATAGATGTGCCAGACAGAGACAAAACTGTGAACACAGTTACATTTTCAAACATCTTACAAAGCACTCTTTGTTTCTCAGAGCCTTCCTGTTTCATGGAAGCAGGTTCTATAACTGCCAGAAATGCACAATGTATTGCAATCCACTGATTCACATGCTTTGGTTCTGTTCTCATTTCTTTACAGGACGAAGTTACAGACTTCATTTCCAGAACACTTACTGCTGATACTCTAGAGGTTCCGCAGCATAAACACTCCTTGAAGACAGCAGTTCATATGAGATGCTAAAAAATTCCTGTTTGTTCTATTTCTAGAGAAAGGTAAAGTAATCCAGCTCCTTGCCATGGAAATTTGAACATTCCCCTGTTCTGTACTGGCTGAAAGTCAAAAGAACACCTCTCCCTGGGAAAAGGTACCTACAGAACTCAAACTAATGTGCAGATTTGCATTTCACACAAAACCCATTTATCACAGACTTTACTCTCCTAATGTACCTCCTATTAAAAAGAAATAGTTGTATGTGAACCAAACTCCTGCTAACCCATAACAGTAAATGTAAAATTCACTTTAGCCTATTAAATCTCATTAAACTTTCTTCACAGTCCACTGGACAATTCTAATGCAAACCATATGCTCATTCCAAGAGACTGTCATTCTAGCTTCTCACAATTTCTGGACTGTTGTCAACCTACTCAGTCTTTATATGGACTGCTGTTACAACTTCTGGACCTTCCACTCATTTTACAGTATACCTGTTGTAATTATGTCTGAAAATCCACTCAAGCACATTTAAAAGAACATGACCTGTAGTTAAATTTTTACACATTTCTGAAGTCAATATCTAGAAGAGTAGAAGTTTCAATTCTTGGCTAAGTCTATTTACTAGACAGTTTATCTGACTGTAAACCCCTAAGACTAGTACCTGTCCAATCCTTATCACTAAGCACACCCACAGAATTCAACAGCAGGTAAGAAACAGTCGGTGGCTTTGCCAAAGCAGACTTCTCGACCTTCTCTGAAGTGTAACACTATACGCTTTACTTTTCCACACAAATATCATTTAAAAAGGCAGATTCCAAACTTCACTGGCTTATATTCTTAAAAACACCTTTTATGTAAAGAGAGATGAAACACTGAGCTCAGATACCATCAGTGGCACTAAAAAGAGCTTAGAAGTTCCTGCTACAAATGTCACCACAATGTCGTTTATAGATCCCCTGCTGCTACCCTATCCAGTATTTTTAAAAGCCCTGCTTTTATCTGAGAGAAAATGATAGAGCTTATCTCTGAGAACTCTGCACTCAAGCACATCTGGTAACTAAAACTTACTGTTCTCCAACAATTTACACGTCTAAAGACAGGCTTCAATTTAATGTCTCTCATAGACAGCACCTGTATTTCACTAATTTGCTCATACATGCTGAGACACAAACTGTTCCTTATTGATACTAGAACCTGGGAAAACAATGCAGCACTACAAAATTTCAGAATGAGATTCAGTTTTAACTTTGAAGTTAACAACTGCCTTCTACTCCCCACCCACGTGCCACAACTTCAGTCTTAAATTAACGCTTGGATCTTCTTCTTTTATAGAACCGTTCTCACAACAAAGTGTATTAGAAATAATAAATACATACACACATTAGTATTTGCACACCTTGAAGTAAGAAATCTAAAAATATTTGATGCATCAAAGCACATTAAGTGATAGGAAAAGATCATAACTGTACATTCATCGAATATTCTCCTTGTTCTACAAAGCAAAGCTTTTGGTAGTTTTGCCTGAGGATTCCTTCCATTATACCAATAGTTTTGCAGTACTTTGTCACTGTGATATGGACTGTAATTCAAGAACACAAATACCTGTTTTCTGTTTTCCTGTTCTTGCTTGGGCTGGGGGATCGAGACCGTCTACCTCTACTTCTGCTTCTAGAGCGCCTTCGCTCTCGGCTGCGGGATCTTCTTCTCTCCCGACTTCGTTCCCTCTCTCTACTTCTCGAACGTCTGCCCCAGAACAAAATTGTATTTATTTAGCATGTGATCATAACACAATTTTAGCCTGCTATTGATGAACCCTTGTAAAAGGAATCCAACAATCATCAAGACCACAAAGAGCTAACAAAGTCTAGCACCAAGACATCATCTAACAAGCAAAAACATTAAGCACAGTAAAATCTATCATGGACTACAACAAAGTAAATAACTTTGATTTGATTTGATTGAGGAAGAACGTCAGTGTTCAGATGACAGAATTTTTTATGTGCTGTGACTGGAATTTGTAACTCCTACCTTTGACGCTTCCTGTCACGCGATCGAGATCTTCTCTTGTCCCTGCTGCGTGACCTCTCACGTCTGCGCTCCCGATCTCTGCTCCTAGAGCGTCTGTCTTCACCACGTTTTCCCCTTTTGTCAGAGGGAGAACGACTTCGAGACCGGCTGCCAGAGCGTCCCCGTGACGCGGAGCGCTTCCGATAATGCCTGCATTGCAAATTTATGAAAAAAAGAAAAAAAAGATGAAAACGAGCTCGAGAATAACTTTCAGTGAAAGGACATGTTTGTCAGATTTGGATGGACAGGACAAAAAGAATTATTTACTACAATTTGTTGGACTCACTAAACTCCTAAACGTTTATAATCTTGCAAAACTGATTAATATACATATACTCCTTACGATGCTGAAACCAGAAGAATTAAATGGTCATATTTTTGTTTTATTGTTGCCGTGCAAAAAGAAGTACCTCAAGAGAACACTAGAACATCAAGAACAATTCCTGTTTTAGGAAATCCACAGATTGCTATTACATTTAGGGAAAGACCAAGTCTTTTTGAAACTATCTCACAAAATCTGCTGAACACTTAACAATTTTTGTTGCTTTTTCTATAATTTTCATTCAGGAACACTATGTAAATTGTGCCTCTGTTCAGTGGAAGATCTGTCAAACAGCAATTAAAGAAACATAAAACCACAAGCATATATGATACAGCAGTGGTCAATGCTGACATCAAAAGAAATTCCCTACTGCCATCAAACATCACAAAACATTTAAGCAGCTAGCAAGGCCTCAGAGGTGTGTGATGGAGATGGGAGACTTTCTCCCCTCACTAATGCTCCCTTACCCCAGCCAAACTGTGGGAGAGGGTAGGGGTAGGAATTTTCCCAGAGACTTTTCACCTGAGTGTACAAGTTGCAGAGGGACCTCCGCTATGACCATATCGTCTTTTCCAATTCCTGACTGTCAGTCACAGTGCCAGAATCATTCCTTTGTTCATCCTCCTGCAGCCCAGGGACCACAGACCCTACAAGCTCCCTACAAACCTAGTAGCTGGGCTTGGGAAGCAAGAAGAGGCAGAGAAAGCAACTTTTGGAAGGCATAAATTAGATTAGAAAATTAATACAAGTTTAAGACCACTTTTTACATTACTTGTTGGTTCCATGATCCAGGTCACAACCCCAAAAAAGACATAAACTTGCAGAAGGGGTTGGTGCTCCTGGGGATGAGACATGAGAGCAGGGCCAGCAGGAGCCACATGTACAAGGCTCTCATTCCTCAGAGACTTGTGGCCTGCTTTGACCGACGTGTTTACATGCTGTCTGTAAACAGTTCCGTTTGTTATGACCACGGAGCCCGATTAAAACTGGACGCGTTTTGGGGAGAGAAGCCGTGCTGTGAGGAGCGGGGTCCTGCCAGCTCAGGCGCCAGCAGCTGGAGCTCAGCCCCCAGGGGATTTTGCAGCCCAAGTCCCTAACGGCTGGGCTAGGTGGCTTGAAACCAATTTAGGGATATCAGTGAGGGTTCCCAGCTCTTCACTGAGTCACCAATTTAAGCCCAAGCCGCTTTTTAAAACCCGAACTTATGTTGCCCCTCTCGGGGTATGAATCCGGGAAGCTGTTACGGCGCAGGGACGGCTGCACACAGGAGCACAAAACACGCGCTGTTACGGTTCCTAACGCCGTTTTAGCATTAAAATCCGCTGGTTCGGTTAAAGCAGAGGGCACTAACACATGCCACGACAGCAGAAGCGAATTAAGGAGCTGGTTTCGAGCCGGAGGGGGGCGAACTGCCCCGACCCCGGCAGCAGAGGCCCGACCCCGCGCCGCGCGGCCACCCGCTGAGGGGGAACAAAAGGCACGCGTTTTTACACAAACTCGGCAAAAATAAAACCTATGAGGCAAAATACAGCCCGCCGGGACACCACACCACCGTTACTCTGCGTTAGAGCAAACGGGGGGGGCTCGGGGCTTTTCTCCCGCAGCCCCTGCCCTCAGGGGGCCCCGCTCGGCCCTGCCCGGCCCCGGCCCCTTTGTTTCCCCGCTGCCCTCACCTGGACTCGCGGCCCATGGCGGCGGCTGACGAGGACGAGGACGAGGAGGAGGAGGATGAAGAGGAGGAGGAGGAAGAAGAGCAGGAGGCGGTGCAGGCCCTGCGCTAGGCGGCCATTCGGCGCCCCGGGCCGAGGCAGGGGGGAAGCGGCCCCTGCCCCTTCCTGCCCGCTGCCGCGCTCTGCCGGCCGGAGGGCGCAGCGCCGGGCACCGCGGAGGGGACGAAAAATAAGAAAATAGAAGGAAATGGCAGCAAAAAAGCCGGGTGCTGCTGCTGCCCTGTTGGCGCTGGGCACTGGGAAGGCCGCAGTGAGGCGCGGGGCAGGATAAGCGCAGGGCCCGGCAGGCTGCTCAGTGAGCCCGCTGCGAGGCCTGTCCTGACCCCAAATCAGCATTTTTGGCCTCAAATGTGTTTCAGGTGAAAGGTGCAGCTCACAGACAGACTCACAACAACCTCGCTTCATGCCCATGGGACTGCACCGTGCTGTGGTTTGCAGCCAGTGGCACACAAAAATCTGTTATTCACCACTCAATAACCCGACTTCTGCAGCAGGCAGCGGCGGGGGGACACAGTCAGAGCATCACGGAAGGGGGTAACAAATATAATTTTAATAGAAAACAATAAGTTCAGCAATATACATTAAATAACGTACACAGAGGAAGATGAGGGAAAATGGAATGAAGGAGGTTCGGCTCTTGTCCAAGGATGAAGTCGTGCAGCAGAAGTCCCACCCGGGCTCGCTTTGCCTTCCCCAGCAGGCAGGCAGGCTGCTGCCCAGTCCCGTTTGGAAGTTTGTCGGGTAAAAACAAGTGCTTACAGACTGAGTTCCAGATCAGCTCTCCTGGCATGATTTCTTTCACCAATCGAGAAAACAACCTGCTTGGTCTTTCTTCGCATGAAAGGACTGCGTAAGGGGTTGCGTGAAAATACAACGGGTGCATCACCTTTTATTTATTACTATCTAGGTGGTTTAATTTTTCTATGTCCAGGATTAAAAATGTATTGCTTTTTTTGCAGATGGTAGTAGATGGTATTTTTGCAATTTGTTTGTATTACAGTTGGGCATATAAACAGAGGGTTAGAATAATGGTAACTTTTGAGGAAACTCATTATTTTAACATTAATTTTAATGTCAGCAATTTCAATTTGCTGAAATTCTTTTCTTGTCTAAATCTGAAGCTTTAAATGTATTTACATTTGTACTAACAGACCTAAATCAGAATCTTTTACAGCCAAACCCTGGACACCCGTAATAAAACATTCACTATAAAATAATCAGTAAAAAAATAAAAAATTGTCAAATCCAAACATAAGCTTCTTGCTTTCATGGCACAAACATACCTAACTCAGGAGTCAGAAATGCGGTGATAAAATTACAGCAGGAAGCTATAACAGGAAAGCTTATGCCAAAAGCAGGGCCGTATATACTTTACAGAAGCATAATCAAGCACTTCTGCTCCCTAAAAAAATGCTGCAGACTAAACTACAGTAAAATGCTGCAACTGAAAAAGGGGCATTAGCCTACATTACCCAAACGTCTAGATTCTAAACAGAAAACTACAAGGTGAAAATAAGTTTAGCTTCAGCAGAAACTTTCACAGATTATCAGCATTTAGGGCTGACTATTTGGAATGATACCTCCCTCTTCTCACTGTACAAAATTTATATGAGATTGAAAATAAGAACGTTTACTAGCTTGCTGCTTTGCCCAGTGACAGGATTCACTTGTATTCGTCTTCTTTTTGGCTCTGTGGTTGAACATCCACAGAAAAAACACGCTATTCTCTCTTCAAATGTGGATCTTTATGTGTGAGTCAATTCAAAACATCACATTACTTCTCATTTCATCGTCACTTGTAGTATGTAGGATTTAAACAGGAATAGCTACCGTGATTTCACTGGGGCAATTTCAAAACTACAGAAGAGTCTGCAACTCAGTTAACATAAATAGCTGAGCTGAACCAAAGAGCACATTTATGCAATTTGGTTGTAGCACTATTATGCAGCAGCAGCAGAACACCTTGGCAACTATGATCCTGTTTGCATGCAACTGTCTGGTAACAAACAGAGGAAAAAATGCAGAAATGTCATATTCAACGTTGTCTTATGCAGTCCTGGAAAAAAAAATGTTTTCCATATAACAGAGCAAATGTTTCGTATTGCAGGTTGGTTGCATAACTTTCCCCTTATGAGGTGAACTGTTGTTAAAAAAAAAAAAAAAGGCATCAAAGACGTCAGAAAGAAGCACATTTACGAGCTATGCTAGGATGAGGCTGCTGGAAACTCACAGATGTGATTAACAATTTTGTTTCTTCCTACTTATTGATTAATGACATTCATAAGCAACAGGACATTTGGCTTGCTTTTTTTTTTTTTTTTTTGCTTAGCTGTTTCGCACAATAACCATCAAATGAAACAAACAACAATCACAACAACGTATGTAAGGCAAGGCTTAGGACAACAGTGCCATGTTTTGCCAACATTCTCCAGAAGCAGCTACTCAGTTCAGCAATCTGAATTTGAACAACAGAATACAGGGAATTTTCATTTAGAGCTTTCTTAAAAATAGGAGCAACACAAAATGAGTAGTTCTTGTTAGCTGTAGTCATTCTAGATATACATAAATGGTTCTGCTGAAAGGAATTCTATTCTCTTTGTTCTCACCAGGAAGAACAAAGGCAGCTTTGTAAATGTTTATGAAGGAGGGTGGGAAGGGTATCATCTTCCTGAACAAAAGAAATCATCCACTGACACTTGTATCCTATTCACATTTGTAGTGGGCAGACACAGTATTTAAATAAACCAAACCAATACAACTGGCAGCCTGGGACCCTGCTGTTCTATTCCCCAAATTATTGGATTTAAGGCTCCTTTCAAGCATTCCAACAGGTAAGAATTTTAATTCAGGTTTAAACCTGTCTGCACAGTCAGACATTAAAGAAATACAGACCAGAAAGATTTAGTGTGACTACTGCATTGAATTCTACAGCCATCAGGGTACTTCAGAACCAAAAAACAGAGCAAGTTCATGGCAAAAGATAAAAGTAAAGAAATAAACACAAAGGTCTGTGAAAACATCTCCCATTTTGCTGTAGGTGTCCATGGAGCGACTGATCACTTCTGCAGGGATTCCAGACAGTAAAAGAGCAGCAGTTAATACCGTCGTTTTCACCTTCTTCTCACTCTAAAAGAAAAACAGTAGCATGTTAGTTCTTCGGTTATAATCCCGTTCTGTTTTACATACCACAGATGTGCCAGTTTCACACAGCCAGGAACATTCCAAATCCATCGGTAAGAACAGCCTGTTGGACTGATTCTCTCTAGACATGCTGCAGGATTCACACCACCTTACTTATCCTAGCCACAGATTCATGTTGTGATGGATCCGATGGGGCTGAGCGAGAGGCTGATTAACAGCAGATAAAATTCCTCACAGCTGTTATGCCTACTTCGTACTGCCACTTCAAGCAGGCTGTGAAGTGGGGCTGTGCAGTAACTTCTGCATGTGTGGGAAGAGTCCCAGACAAGGGCAACCTGAGTGTAAGAATCCAAGCCAGGCACCTCCACTGGCAGAACAGGACTAATCCCATCACGCTACTTGGCAAAACATACCGTTGCTTTCCAACACAGAAAAAATGATGTAGGATTGAAAAGCAACTGCTCCTTTCTATTTTAGTATTACTCCCTTTGGCAATTTTATCCTCTGAACTCAGAAATGCCCCAAAAGCCTTTTGAAAGCCATTCTTCTCTCCATAACATGAGGGATCCTGAGGATGCAAGGAAGCCTGACAGGCAAAAAAAACACAGAGGTTGAACATTTTGGTAATTTGATGATACCTGCTGGACACCTTAATTTAATTCAATCTAAATTAAGCGTTTGAGAATCTTTCTAGGTTTCATGAAAGAAAAATTCAGGAGAGCAAGCTGATTAAACTCATCTCGGTATAACCGAAGAAAAAGCAAATTGTGGGAAGGAATCACTTTAACTTCTGAAACTGAAAAGCTGATAGTAAAACCAGCAGGAGTGAGACCAAAAAGAACTAGCAAATGAGCTAGTGCCAATCTAAGACTAATTCCCTTTTTATGTTTTCACACAGCAGCCTAGAATGACTACTATGAAGTTCAGTTTTCAATGATATACATAACTTCAAAAGAACAACCACTGATTTACTCTGATTTTCTACAACTAATCTAGTATTCTTTTTAAAAAGCAGATGCTAAGCTATCAGCATTAGATAACTTAATTCTACAGTTTAAAACAGCAGAATGTATCACACACATTGGTCCTAAAACAACACAATCTAAGAACAAGTTTAAACCAAAAACATTTGTCATTAACCTGATTTTGAAAAGTTATTTTACCTTTGGAAAGTACTTGGACAGTCCCATGTAAGCAAGTTGTAGAGTAAGAAATGGTGCAAATATTGACTGGAGGAACAGAAAAGAATACATGAAGATTATCTTATTGGTAAGAAAAGCTAAGAAAACACAAGAATTTAATGCTTCTCCAATCATAAATTAATATTAGGTAGGTATTTTGTGGAAAACAACAGCACTATTCTTGAATACTAAACACCTTAACAGCCAAGTGAAAAATATGGTTCTACCCTAACTGCTTTGGGCCTAAAAACTTGAAATTGCACAACCACAGAGCCCTGTGTAAAAATGAGCCCAGTGATCCAGAAGGTGGCAGGCTGTACCAGCCACATACTTCTCTATGATGTATGGGCAGATACCTGGATTATTTAAGAACTATTTTTCTCAAAAGGTTGATAAATGAGTAGGATGTACTTATCATGCTACAACTGTTGTAGTTTTTACTCTATTATTCCTTTGTAAATTCCAAACTAGAAGAGCAGTTGACTCAAACTTGCAGGGGACTGAAGCAGCAACAACTATGCCAGTGTTTCTGCTCCTCAAACACTACGGACTGAATGTGTGCAACTCTCAGCTTTTACCCAGTAGCTGTGCTAGATAACACAGATTTTGCCACAGTTATCATCTCAACCTGTTGTTTTTTTTTCCCACTTTTATACATCTGTTTGAAATGTAGAGTGCCTGAAGTTCCCAATTCACTTGGCCCTAGATAAACAGTATTTCACGAGTGGGGTCCTAAGTTTACAGCAAAGTAGCAAAAAGAACAGGAGATTGTTTGCTTCCCTGAACTCACCAAGTACTTGCACACAAAAGCCCTGACTGCAATGGCAAGCAGAGCACAGCCCACTAATCTAAAAATGCGGAAAGAGTCAAACTCCTCCACCGCATTCCCATTCTCTTGGCTTGGCTTCTCATGCATCAGCTGGTTCCTCAGCTTCAGAGCTTCATCAAATCTGGATAAGTATTGTTCTAATCCATGTCTAGGTGGCCGTGGTGCAGCTTCAGACGGCAACTCCCCTCTGGTACGGTGACGGAGCTCACTTGTGCCCTCATTGAGGAGCTCTGGGGTTTTACTGAACAAGTCCTTATCCCCTTTGAGGTCTACCATGCTGCCTGCGTGGTCAGCTGGTCCGGCCATATTGCAGACAGAATCACCCAGCACAATTCGCTTTGAAACTGAAGGAACAGGAAGGGAATTTGATTTATCTTGTTCATGTTGCAGTTTTGATTCTCCGTGACTGTCATCATCTAAGGAAGAGAAACAAAAATACAGAGTTATGCACACTGGTGACTTAGAAAACACTTTAGCCATGCCGGATTGAGGTCCAGGGCTGAGGTCTCCACTTCTGAAGTGAAAACACAGATTCGTGATTATTAAATGTGCTAATTATTAAACACAAACCCAGATGAATTAGCTGAATACCAGTAAGCCTGTTTTATATAGAAATGGACTCAGATGAGAAACGACCTATTCAGAACAGATTTACGCTCTGGCTTGTATTACGCCATAGATCATAACGAAAAAGGAAGAGCACAGCATGGGCCTGACTGCAAACTCTCATCAGCTTCACCAAAGTTATGCGTTTGCACAGCTGGACTCAGCACACTCCTGGCTCTCTCCACTAGCCTGCAGAGACCCCTACGTGTACCACACGCTCTGCACTGTAGGGCACTCCTGGGAGCTGATGCTAGACCGACAGGCATGCAACACCAAGCAGAAGCTGCAGCTGTCAGTCAGCAGAAAAAGGGAAGCATGGACTTAAGCAACAACACTGTATGCACATGAGGAAAGGTGTTATTCCACATACACAGCGCAACATAAAAATACAGAGATTCAAAGACAGTGAATCGCACAGAAAGAGCACTGAAGACTGAAGTTTTGAAGAAGACTGAAGACTGACAAATGAGCAGGTAACAGAAGTGTACTTGGGCTTGTTTTTCTCTCCTGTCAAAAGCAAAGCAGCAAAAACTTGGTCTGTATTAAACCTGAGAAGATGTTACAGCGACAGCGGTGATGACAGCAAACACAAACCAAGTCGAGAGGCATGCAGAACAGTTCTGGTCCTGCTACAGAGGGTGAACCAACACTGAAAGAGTATTCAAAGAGTATTTTTCAGTACTAAGGCAGTTTGATTCATAGCTTACGGCCACCTTTGTAAACTGAAAGATGGGAAGTCTGACAGTCAGCTCCCTTAAAGTGCGTACATACGTTTATAAACGACCTGTCTGTGCATCTGCCAGACACCTGCACGCCCACCACAGACACCGAGTGACCGATTGATATCCAAATGTCAGACAACTGCTCCGTGCACACACTGCCACCAGACCTTGCAGTGACAGCCTGAACACGCGGGCACCCCTCCTCCAGCTACGGAAACCTCCCCGCAGGGCACTGACAGCTCGCTAGGGAAAACCCAGAGGCCGGAGGGCCTCATCCCTGCGGATTTGGGGCCAAACCCGCGTTTCCCCGCTGGGAGGAGCGGGGGCTCCGCGCTCCCCTCAGCGCCGCCCGGCCCAACGGCCCCCCCACACCTCAAGGCGGCGGCGGCGGCGCCCGGCTCACCCTTGGCGGCGGGCCGGTGGAAGCCCATGATGCGGTTGATGCGCTCCTCCGAGTTCATCAGGAGCTTCCTCCGCCGCAGCTCGGCCCGGCGCTGCGAGGCCGAGAGCCCCGAGGGGACCCCCGGGGTGGCCGCCGCCGCCGCCCCGCCGCCGTCCTCCTCCATCCCCTCAGCGCCTCACAATGGGGCCGCCCCGCCTCAGCGCGCAGGCGCCGCGCCCGCTTCCAGGTGCCGAAGCCGGCGGCGCCATGTCGGGAAAGGGCAAGGGGAACGGGGACGAACCCGGCCTTTGTGGTGTCTCGACGGCGCCTCGCCGGGCGCAGTGCCCGCAGCCAAGATGGCGGCGCCCGCCTCGGAAATGGCGTCGCGGCGGGAGGCAGGCGGGAAGGGAGAGGGCAGAGATGGCTGCGGGCGGCCTGAGCGCGCCGCGCCTCACAGCAGCCCTGGGCGGCCTCACAGGGGGACGCGGGCAGGCCCCTGCCCCGAATTTGCCTCACGCCTTGGTTTCAGGCGAGCTGGCAAAGCCATTTTGCGTTCCGTGAGGAATATCTGCTCAACAGTGCAATATAGAAACATGCGTGACGTGTTCCTCACAGAGATAAAAGCATTTGCTGTATAACTGAGCATAAGCGCTTCTAACCAAAGTAGTCACCTAACACTCAGGAATTGGCAGTGAAAGAACTAAGTTCACATCATCCTTGTTCAAAAGCAGCACATTCACTAAGCTGAGGTCAGAGAAGCGTTAACACCAATTTTCAGGCCGCTGTGTGACTTTCAGCACAATGTTTTAAACCAGAACACCAAAGCCAGCCTTTCACCCTCGCTCTCCAGCATTCCTCACACAGAACAGCTTTGTGCATTTAGGTGTAGCTCACTATTTTTTTCAGGTTTTCTATTGAAAAAGCTGCTAGTAGTGCTGTGTATCTGAATTTAGAATTTCTGGGAACACTAAACAAGAAAAAAGAAGACCGTTTATTGTAGTGCCAGGAAATAAGTGCTCACATTTACATGAAAGGAATACACAATGTAGGAAAATTCCACGTAGGAGACTGTTTAACAGCACAGGAAGCTGCCCAAATCATATACCCAGGGGATGTATCTGGGAATATTGCGCTGTTAACACAATCAGCAGCTGAAGGGATCGAATACACAAAGCACAGACAAACACAAGGCAACGTGGATCTCCCTAGGATTCCAGAATTACCATAAAATTATAAAACATGGAACATCTTCAGATCCTTCTAGTCAGGTACAATTGTTATTTTTATGTACAATAAAAAGTCCATCACACCTCTACTTGTGTGACAAAGTGATAAAACTGGGCCACAGTTTCTTCGCTCGTAGCTGAACATTCAAATAGCAAGCATGCATAGCATCGTCAGAAGTACCTGAAAGTCAAACCAAATGAAGGCAGTAGCATGGATTCTTTCTATCAATACAATTACCTTCACCATCCCTGAAAGATTTTACACTCCTTAGCTCCCAGGGACTGTAACACAGGGACTCCAACCAGAAGCAGGACTCATCTTCAAGATGCTGTACTTGCACTTCCAAAGACCAGCAGCTGGGAGCTGGACACTGAGCCACAGCTGGAGCATTGAATTCAGCAGCAGGACAAGGACAGTTGCATTCATTGGGGAAAATGTAGTGCTGACAAGTCCAATCAGTAACATATCTAAGATACTAAGTGATTTAGAGAATGATAGAACTCTGTATTCAAAAATTTAAGTCAGAGGTCAAAGAGCCAGGCTTGTGCATTACCTTACATATGATGAACCAGAAGCAGTGATGAGAGCTCATAAAAAAAATTGGCAAGCATAAGATGGAATGACTCTTACAAAAAGGTGTTGAAAGAGGACATTAAATGAAGAGATAAGATTACCTATAATAAAATTAATCACCATCTTGGGAACACTGCTGAAGGCAGGCTAAATTCCAACCATCAATGTCACTGGCTTGAGACCAACTTCCAGCCAGATGGCAGGGTACAAATATGCTGGAGTACGGTACAGATGTGGGCTTACTGGAATAACAAACCCCAAGATAGTACTAAACAATAATGCTGACTGACAGAGATGCTCTGGGAGGACAAAAAAACGCCAATGACAGAAGGAAAGTTTTATTCAACTGAAACTAATTCTCCTAAAAGTTCCCTCTCAGTCTGTATCACTAATGTTAAAGTTTTAGCTAAAGTATAATTTATCTCTTGCTAATACATGCTATTTATCTTGATTGATCAAATACAGTATTTTTATAAGAAAGGACTGATGGACTTACATGAGTTCTTTCAATTAATTTTATTGAGTAGCCAAATCTGATAAATTAGCACAGATAAAATAAGCATTTGCATGTGTTACAAATGACTTTTTACAGGAATAAAACAGTGAAAATTACAAACTGTAAAAAGGAGGACAAGTAAATCCTGTCTCAAATTCAAAATGGGGAAGATTTATAACTTCATACTGAAGATCAAATGTCCTAGTTCAGAAAGCAAAGATTTAATATTACAATATTATACACTACTTTACAAAATTAAATTTACTGTAAGGATTACATCCATAATAGTAAACAGAAGCTTAAAATCACATTTAATGGTCCCTTACTTAATAGCCATTTTGCATCTTTGATTAAATTCTGTTAAGAAATTAGATCTAAATAAAAGTGAATCATTCTAGTTATTGCAAAACAATCTATGTGGACTTAGACTCAAATATATTAAATTAAAAACAATAATGAAAGCAAAGTAAAATGGATGGTAACAATGTTGGCCGAACACTAATGTGTCAAATACAGAAATAAGTTTAAAAAAAGTCCTCAACTAGAAAAATAGAATACATTTGCAGTGGTAGAGTTGTCTTGCTGAGATCTAAGTACCAGAGCCACTCCTGCCTGTTTTTGCAGTTCATCTTCAGTGTCCTTGTTTTCCAACGGTAGGTTAAAATGACACATCATAGGTAGCTTGTGAGTTCATCTGTCCTGTATTGCCCTTACAATACAGCAGGCTTTTCCCACTGCGAGGGAATAAACTAACAAAGTTCAATACAGAATTTCTTCCAAGATGAAAACAAGTGATCCACTCCAAGAGGGTTCATCTGATTCTTGTTTATACCATTTTGCTCTGTAAAACTTAGGGACCCTAATTAAAAGTTAATTGCCACAAACACTGATATCTTTAGCCATTAGTCTGGTGTACATAAAGTAATGAAGTCATCTCCAACATTTATGTTCTTTAAAAAAATTACAGGATTATTATAGCAAAATACAGTCAGAGTAAGAAACAGACTTGGGGTAGGCTGGTAGATGCAAGGATGACTTTCAGCATCTGAGCAATAACATACCCAAAATGCAAGTTTTAAGTGATAAACTATGCAAGTGCGTAGCTTCCATTTAAATGAAGAGACCCCTTCTCCCAGGGAAAAGAAAAAAAAAGATCATACTGCCAAAAAACTTAAAAGAAACAAACCCATCTCTCCATTCTGACTAGAAACTGTGCAATTTTCTGAAAAGCTGTTCAAGTAAATATACTCCTGTTTGCTACAGATACAGCAAACAGGGAAGCTTAAATTGGTTCTACAATAGTCTTTTCACACTATTTTAGACATTCTCTGAACTTTACCTTCTTGTGCTCAAGTGAAAAGACCAATTCCTCCAAAGAAACTCCTCCCTTGAAGTAAGGCAACTCCTGACAATCAAGTGTAGCTACAGCCTGTAACGGTAGCAAATGATTACCCTACAATGTCCTTTGACATTTCTATCGCCAACTGTAAGCTAACTAGCCTAGTCACAGTATGTGCTTGACCACTTTTATAAATGTTTTACCTGTACACTTCACTTGCCCCAAGAAGTAGATTTTGCAAGAACTATATCACCATTAGACAAAAAGCTAAAACAAGATTCTTCCATACAAGCGTCTTTCATGGGCATACAGGCACAGCAACTTAAATACTTTTCATGATGCTAGCTATTGATAACTCTTTTGGAGATCACTGATACACTTTTATAAAATTATCTAAATATTCTTGTATATAAATTTTCACTTCAAGTCCAAGGCCAACTTCCGTCTGTAGCTCTGGCAGGGATCTGAGAGTACATTTAAAGCTTTCATTTGGTGCACACTGGCTTTGGACCTAGGCTCATTAGGCAGCTGCAGTAAAGAAATCTTGGAGAACTTCAAGTATGTCTCGAACCATAAAAAAATCTTTAAATACAAAATAATGTTTTTGTCTTTGGAAAAATAATTTATCTTCCAATTTTAGTGTCAGAATATTGAATGTGGTCTCAAACCACTAGGTTTGAAGTGCCATCACACAAACGCACTTTGTAAGCACACTAAATTTCAGGGGCTTAACATTCAGCTATGTAAACAAGAGCCCAAAGTCTACTAAACATTTATCCTGGGATAACCTTACTTGCCATTCCCCTCCCATACCATTCACAGGCTGAAAGTAAGAAGAAAAATTTTACTGAAGAAAAACGAAGCTTGCCATCTACGTAAGTCTATTTTTGCTGCTGACTCAGCCACTGACTTTAATGTATCCCATATAGGGCTCACTCCTCCCCACTATTTTTTTTTTTTTAAATTGAATACTGACTTATTAAAAGCTTTCAAATATTAAGCCATCTTGTCCATGTTAAGCTTACCTTGAATCCTATTAGCCATAATCCATTCCAAACACTGGATTCTAAGTTCCATAAATTATTTGTTCGTTTCACAATGAACAGTTGTTTCATTGCTACTTTAAGCATTTTTAAGTTGAACATTGAGATGCTTTGATCACTGGATGCACTTACAAAGAATTTCCCTGCAAATCATGATCAGTATTGTGAGGTTTTTATATCTAGCAGCAAAAAAATAAAATGCAAAGAGTTACGGAAATATACATTTTGAACAACAAAGAACTCTTTATTTTACAAAATGTATTTCACCTTTTCAGTATTGCCTTTGTAAATGTACTTCATGCTGCAACTACTTACAGTAAAAACATGATTTGCAGCAAAATAAAGGTGCTCAACCAGTTCCGATAGTTTGATTTTTAAGGTATAATGTATAGTTGCACGTTTGATTCTCAGATGTGGTCCTTTATTTGCTTTAGTTCGTTGAAATCACAGTGAGAACTTCTCATCGACTGCCTCAGGCCACAGATTTAATGAGGATATTATAAGCACAAGTGTTCTTTACTGCAAAATCTTTCCTTAAAGAAGTGAGCCAAAGGCTAGCGTTTCATTTATTCACTTGCTGCTGTATATGAAGGAGGAACTCATAGTATGATAAGGCTGATTCTGTTCTGTCTTCAATCATATTTTGCAGAAAACTTGATTTCAATGGGCTGTCA